ATCCATCTGTTTACAGCCTCCTAATAGTTGGGATTAGAGGCACGCGCCTCTATGCACAGTCTCAATTGCCCTCTCAGCGTGCCCCAGGGCCGGGGCCTGCATGGAAGGCAGGCCTGAGGAACAAACCCCAGCCCCTGCTTCTGCTTGCAGGCATTTTACTCATGCTTATTTTATATAAGCCATGCTGTACTCAATTTGCCTCCAAGTCTTGCTGATAATCTCCTTAATATTGCTTAAATTTACTCCCTTAAATTTAATATTCATTCAGAATCATCTCAATTTATTTGAGGCCAAACATTCCTGTGCAATTAAAATGAAAGGTGAACACCGAGCCTCTCATTTGCCTGAACTTGAAAACAATTTTATAAGATACCATAAGCACCTTTGTATACTGGGTAGCAGTTTCTCAACTAAGATCATTCAAATTAAACTGTATTTCTTGAATTAATGACAGAATAACATCATCTATAAATCAAGTTCCCCAAGGCCTGCTATCTTTTCCAGTTCACTCTGCCATTTGCTGTGGAAAAGATGTTGTCTGAGGGACCATGACAGATCCCACAGATGACTGTGTGGGGCCGTCTTCATGGAACTTCCAAGCAGGGAGTGTGACACTCATCTGGGCAGGACAAAGGGCAGATGACGATAAGGACTTGAGTAGGAAAGGTTCAGCTCAGAGGCCTGGGCTTCTCAGACCTTCTACCTTCTTCCAAGAGGTTGACTCTCGGCTGATGTCTAGGGGCGAAGTGCTGAATCTTCAAAATGTACTGCTTAACTGAGAGTGTGAAAGCATTTCAGTGTGCTCGATGTCTTGTCCTTAAGGTGGTATGACTTTGACCAGGTAATTTATGGTACTCGTGGTAATTGTTAGCCTTTTTTTGTGGCCTGGGAGAATGTTGGCACATGTACTGCTGAGATCAGTTGCCTGGCTGTAGCATGTCTATACTGGGAACCCCCAGTAGGCAAGCTGGACCCAGAGGCTTAGAAGGATGCCCTTGTTGGCAACTCTTTGCATCTGTTGCCACATATTTCATAGAGAACTAAGGATATCCTATGTAACCACACTGGGACAGGACACCTGAAAGCTTGCACACCTTCCTCCTGGACTTCGTCCTTTGTGTCTTTTTCCTTTCCTGATCTGAGTATGTCCTTTTGCTTCATTGAATCATAACTGTGAATCTGTGGTTTCTGAGTCATGTTCTTCCTTCTCACATATCACGAGCCTAAGGTTGGTTGTGGGGATGCCCAGATGCAATGCAGTATGAGGAAAACTTATCAGAGAGCTGTGGGGATCTCCTCACCCATGAACAAAGTAATCTTTCACCACATTATCTTAAGAGAGAACAATAGAACTCAGTGGGTCATGCATGAGTTCATGTGCTATTTCTCTTACACGCACCTCTGAATTGCACATACTTAGAAAGGATCCATGCTTGAGGAATGCATTTGGACACTGATATAAATAGAAATCCTCTTGAGATAAAAAGCCTCTAATTTTAGTTAGATTTCAGCTTCAAAGTTAACACCTTTCTTAGCGACTACCTGTATTAAAACCAAATCAAACTTCTAGCTGTGTTTCAGATTGCATTTCCTGGTCATGGCTTAGAATCATGCTTTTTGTCCTGAGAGTTTTCAGTTCTTTAGGGTCCCCACTCCCCACTTATTCAAATGACTTCCTCATAACTAAAAAAAAGGCTGGGATCAAATGTTTTCTTCCCGAAAATAACACCGAATGTCACCAGGTAGCAATAGATCCTGTTTTCCCACTCTATCCTACTTTGCCAGACTGTGTAGTATTGCATTATAACAATTCTTATGCACCATTCCTTTATTAGGGCTTGATGCATTTATTTTCCCTGGAGTCTTTGAGCTCTTAAGGGCCAGACTAAGCATGGTTCCTGTCTTCATTCAGACTGCCTAGTGTGGCTCTTGGCTTCCAGTAATCACCAAGAGTGTTTATTAAGTGGAGGGACATGTACTTGCTGAGTGGAGGAAAGACACTGAGCCCCACAAAGATGTCAAAGATACTTTTCATCAGGACCATTTATTGAGTCTTGATATGATTTACCTGAGTCCTGTTATGCTGGTAAGTGGCCATGATTAGAGAAATCCTCCCAAAAGTATTCTTAGAACATAAGTTTATTGTGAAGAATAAAACCTGTGAGACTTAACTAAAACTTATAGACATGCTCTACCTTGTTTACCTCTGATAAAGTTAGACAAACACTGATCCTCCGGATTCCTGTTATTTTTATGTCATGAATGATTAGTCAAACTGTACTCCTTGGTAAACTGGAACAAGATACTTATTGGCCCAACTCTCCTTTCCTTGGACCTGTGAAATTTGACCTGTTCTCAGCTTGCAGTGGTGTGCAGCCCCTCCTGAGAGAAAGGTAAAGCAGAAGCATTCTTGGTCTACCATATGGCCATGTCATTTTGATGCTTCACACTTTCTATCCCGTTTCCTCACATCTCATCATTTCTAGCCTTTTAACTTTTCATTGCAAAAGAAAATGTCCTTTTCCCTAACCACCAAGACAGCTGCTGAATTCATGCTTAGAGAAAGACAAGTGGTTGCCATCTCCACTGAAATAACAGCCCCCACTTCCTGCAATAATCACATTAAATAGGCTCTCTTTGCTGATATCTGGAACTTGTTTTTATTTGACAGGGCTCTTGGATTAATGGAGAGCTTTTCACTACACAAATATGCCTTCATCTTTTTGTTAGTGAATACAGTGGCCATGATTTCTGATGCTTTATTTGCATGCATTCTAGTAATATGTTCCTCAAATTCAAAGAGCCTTGGTGCATTTGCCTCTGACCCTTATGAGGTTGTCTCTAGTTCACTCATCCTTGGGTTGTTTAACTGCCAGGCCTGCAGCCTCCTCTTTTGCTTTTGTGTACTTTTCTTGTCCCTCAGACTTAATGGAAAGGCAATTGCCCATAGGCCTGGGGTAGAAGAAGCCTACTTTTTAGGTTCCGGCAGAGACCTTGGACTAGAGGCTACCGACTCCTTATCTTTAATGTGTAGTAGAAACTCAGGCCTTGGTCATTTAGCACACTAATTACATTAGTAGCTTACAATTAGCTTTGACTTTTTAACCCTAGAGATCATTTGACCATGCTTGGAGATACTTTGGGTTGTGACAACTGGAAGGACAATTATTGGCATCTAGTGGGGGGGGGGTTAGGGCTTCTGCTGAGCATCCCAGAAGGCACAGGACAATCCCCTGCAGTAGAAGATTACCCAGCCCCAAGCGTGAACAGTTCCGAGGGTAAGACACAATAATTTACATGAACATCACTGTTTCTAACAGATGCCGTGAAACACTTATTTGTTCAAAAATTGAAGGCAACACAGAGAAACTTACCTAAGGGGTACATTTACTTTCATCTAATAATATCATGACTTTTTTCTATCAAGTGCTTAAAGATTTTGGAAAAAATGATCCACAATTTGGCAACAGAGAAATTTATTGATTGTTTGCAACATTTGTACAACACATATAGCTTATCACATGGTTACAATCCAGTATTTGTGCTTTGTAGAATAAGTAAACATTTATTTGAGCACAACAAAAATCTACACATAATATTCTGAAATTGTTTAAAAATAAATATATCCTTTTCCATTGAGTAGCACAAAGAAGCACATTTTGGTTTGAGATGATGGATGGATTTTAAATTTGGTTCATGAATCAAATTAAACATACAATTTAAATTTGGACTATTTGCATAATAAATGCCCAGTGAACACTAGACAAGATTCCTGGCATGAGTGGATAGGGCAAAAGTATGGCTTGCAAGAAAACTTCCTTGGCATTTGAACATGTGGGTGACTAAGCAAGGCCAACAATAGTAGTGGGAGGCCTTGTTTATGTTTACAATATTTAAAAACATAGTAAAAGCATAGGATTTCAGAAGATCCTTAGCAAGTTTCTTTCATCATTTTAGTTGAAAGGAAAATAAAACCTTCTTAGGGAGATGTTAGATACTTTCATTTTCCACAAGAGTAAATTTCTGTTATTAAAATAATTTAAATGTAATAGTCTTTTTTTTAATCTCCTAAGCCCTGGACCAACATCATTGAGTAAGCAAGTCTGTTGTCATTACTGGTCACGTCTGACACAAGGGTTTTACCATGTGTGTGTCACTGTGAAGGTCATCAAAACAGCCTATCAGAAATGCAAGCATTGCCTCCTTCCTAACACAACAAACCACCAGGCTCAACATCAGTGAACAACCTCAGAGAACAATCTTTTCATGGTTTATTTACCTCTAGTCCAAATTAATATATTATTTAAGATAATAATCTCTCCATAATTTACAATAAATAAAATGAAAGTTTATACTTAGTACAATTTTATTCATAAACAGCTTTTTTTTTTCTTTTTTGTATTTAGAACAAGGTCTACAGGGTCTCACTACACAGATCGTACTCATAGTGATTCTCCTATTTTCAGTTTCCCAACCACTGGGACTACAGATGCACACCATCACACCCAGTCTCAATCACCCTCTCAGTGTGCCCCAGGGGCAGGGTCATCACGGCATGCTGGGGATTGAACCCTGGCTGCTGTGCTCGGCCTAAGCAGGTGCTTTAGTCTGCTGAGCTATCGGGCCAGCCCTTAATAAATAGATTTTAGTTTGAAAAAACCTACTTGTTTTCTTTTTAGTAAGAAAGCTTTCCCACAGGCTAAGAATTCTGTAATCATTTTACCTAAGTAATATTTTCATGGAAACAAGGAAGTCTTTAACCTCCCACTTCCTCAGTAGAATGCTGTTGGTTTTTTTAATTAATAAAGAGCCTAGAATTTGTTGGGAAGCAGTGGAATATTTATGAATGGGTTGCAGTAATTGAATGAAGTAGCTCAGTAGAGGACACAATACACTACTTGCTGTCTTTTCATATCTTCTCATTCTGATGTGAAAGTGAAGATCTTTTGCATAAACTTGAAAATTCTCATCCATATTTTAAGTGTTTGCCTAGGCTGGCAGTACAATAAAAATTACAGCATAGTTTATAAAATTATTTTCACCAATGAGTTCACATCGAGTTGTTTAACATAACTGAAGACATTCTACATCATTTGTATATTATTAAACATACATGAGCCCATCTTTCTTGGACCATGGGACTAACGGTAAGCTTTTTAATTTGGGCCCTCCCTGAAGTGTCTCTTTTGTACTCCTTTCCACTTCACAATCTTTTGAATGTGTTGTTTTGATTTATACAGGCCTATATTTTGGTTTCCATCAGTTATTCCACATTCACTGGCCTTGAGCAGTAGAGTTCTTAATAGTTCTGCTACTATGATGTGATGAATTGATAAAGTTCAGAGCATTGTGCAAACCACTGTTATCTAAACTGGGATGAAGGAAAGAAAGGCTCCCCTGGGCAAAACTGCCTTATCCCAGTTCCAGGAGCCAGTCAAAGAGACTTGGAACCCCCTCCTTCTGCTCCTCATGCATTTTGCAGTACTGCACAACTGCATGAAAGATATCCCCCACCTTCCAGGACTTCCGGTGGACCAGTCGCACGACATCTAGAAACTGGAACAAAACACAGAGTTAGGATGCAGGCATCACAGTATCCTTAAAGGTTTGCCATTGAGGTGGCTCTCCAGTCTATGGATGGTGTCTCTAGTCTCAGGCTACCATTTTCCAGGACGGTCTATTTTCTTTTTCGACATTTATTATAAGAGCCTTCATACAACTGAACTGGAATTTTCCTCAGAGCGGTTTCCATGGGAGGCAGCTAAATGCACCAAAGCTATTTATTTTTCTGAGCCAGTCTCCCACTTACTTAGTATATCATCAGGATTGCTTGTCTCTGGGTTAGATACCCTGCAACAGGACTATACAGCATGACTTTCTGTCTCTTATACCACAGACAATTTCTCATTGGATATGAATGTTTAAGTCAAATAAATTAAGTGCTAAAATTTCAAGTCAAGTCCTTCCATCTAGAGAAGCTCTTCTCCACTTCTGCTTGCCCCAGTCAACATCAGGAGAGTTTTTCAAAGTGACAGGGAAAGCAAAGGTTGAGAAAACACTTTGGTCACCTGGTGATCATATGAACCTCAGTCCGCCACAACCTAAAGACAAAGTTCTAGATTGAAAGCAACCTGGAGGCTTGAAGGGACAGAAGATGAGGAAATCACTACTGGGGAAATCACTATGTGCATGATGCTGTAGAAGAAAATGCAGCATGTAGCTTTCTCAAACTTTTGAGTCAGATGTATGTATGTATTTGGTACATAGTCTCACTACACAGCTTGGACTCAGTGATCCTTGGACTCAGTCTCCCCAGGGCTGGGATTACAGGTATGTGCCACCGCACCTGACCTTGGCGGGCAGCTTTGTGTGCCCAGGATGCTGGGGCTGGCATGGCATGCGGTACTGGGGATTGAATTTGGATCCTTGCACTTACCAGGCAGGTGCTTAGACCACCAAGTTATTTTCCCAGCCCCATAGTCAGATAATTTGAAAGGAAAGTAACATTAAGAACCAAAATCTGCAGAACATAAACATGTAGAACACATCACATGTCCTGCTCTGAACACCCGTGGGGCAGGCATCAAGAGATGACAGAGTGTAGGTTGGGGACATGCAAAGTTGGTGATGGAGCCATGGGATTCCTAACCCAGCGGAGTGGCCTTAGTGCTATGGCATCTTTCTAAGTTTTTGTAGCAGAAGAGGGTAGCATTGGTATTTATTTGATGCATAAAGAGAAATGATAGGCTGAGAATCTAATATTTTTTTTTAGGAAGAAGTGCCTATTTGATAAGAAGATGGGGATGGCTGTCCAGTTATATTTCTTTAATGCTTCATTCTAGGAATCTTTGTATTCTACTTTTTGCATTTACTCATACTTCAGAGATCAATAAGAAGTCAGATTGCTAATTTTGTTTTTAGTTTGGAGCTATTAATTCATCTCAGTTACTGAGAAGTTGTCTCGTGGAAAACGACTATTACCTTATATTCTTTCTTTCAGCTGTGAAAGCATCAACTATTTAAAGGGTTACAAAAACTAGGGCTTTGTTGTGTTCACTTGCATTGTTTAGGTGTAATCAAAATAATGTAATTTTATAGTCTAGACAATGAAATACTTATTTTTAATAGCTAGAAATGCAACTGCTGTCATACAGAGTTCTGGGATGTTGTAAAAGGTGACAGGAGCAGAGAACTATGACATCTCAGATAGTGACATCCCAGGGGAAGAGTCACAGGTTATCCATCTTCTGTACCTTGTGCCTGCAACTAGAAGATGCTTAACAAATATTTTCTAGATGACAGAAGGGGTGGGTGACAAAATGTGAGCCAAATATACTCAAAGTTCACAGAGAACTGTTCACAATATGGGTGGATATCTGCATCATTGAAGAAAACCCTTAGGTAAGTACTCACTCAAGTTTTAATGAATATATGTCATTAAAACATAAACTTATATAGCTATGGGATGCCTGCTTAATCATTTTCCACTGATAAAGTACCCCAGAAAAATGCTCAGATTTTATGGATAGAGGAGTTGGCTGAACAGCCAGGTGGGAGGCCCTGGCAGTGTGTCAGGAGCATAGAACTGTTCATGGCGCATGCCTCCTCTGACAGCAACAGGCCTGGCAGGTGCATCCTGGGGTGAGATGCTCCTCACCTCTTTTTACTGCTCACTCTGTTGGAAATGGTGACTTAGCTCACGGGGCTCCATCACCCTGTGCTAGAATTTAAGAGAAACCAGTAGCTGGCTGGGTCTCTTCTCATCCTGGTGGTCATCTTGTCTCTTTAGTTCCTGACATATTTGGACCAGGTGGAAATCTTTTGCTTATCCTGCAGTCCCTTTCACTAAAGGACATTTCCCATGGCTACTAGGGACTTACAGAGACATAGAAAATGTAACTTTGGGAAGTGTTCCTTAAACTTTAATGTGAATGAAAGAGGCATGCCATGTGTCTGATTGGAGTAAGAGGAGAAAACATGGCTTTCAGAACACCAGTCCCAAGGGAAATGAACCAGGAAAGGATAAGGCACCTTTGCATGGTTCAGTTTCTCAGCCTTTTCCCAGCCTACTGAAGATCTAGGAAGTGGGTATTCCTGATGAAGAAAAGCTGGATGACAAGTTCTGAGGCCTCCCTGAGAAAGGCTTATGCATGTGTCCCTTCTCTCTCAACATTCCCCTGCGCAGTGACCAGTGACGTTCAGCTGAGGTCATCCCTGTGGGTCCATTTTTCCCTTTACATGTCTTATAAATGTGCACTCCTTGTAAAGCCTACCGACATAAAACTAGCCTGTGCTCCTTTGCATATTTTTTTTGTAAACTCCCGCTCACCACACCATTGCTTTATCGATTTTGCATGTCAGAATAATTGCCCGGGGTAGGAAGGTCAAGGCTCTGGGGAAGACAATATTCACTAGAGCCTTCCTAGAAGGTTTGTTGCCCCAGAGATCACTGGAAGTCAAACTTTAGCATCCTTCCATTTATTTGGAGTCAAGTCAGAGGCCTCTTTCTGTGGTGAGGACCCCAGGAGGCTGATGACTGGCCCAAAGTTGTGACAGTGACCTGGCAGTGAGGCCACTCTGCCAGCAGTGTGTGAGATGGCTGCAGGCTAGAATCCACCTCATGATTTCTAAGTCAAGGCTGATACTTCAATAGAGCACTTTTTAAACACGATCTGTCCTTACCAAAAATAGCATGCTCTGAGGCTTTGATGATTTAATCTCAGACACCTTGAAACATATGGACACTAATGAATAAGAAGGTCACATGCTTTCTTTACTAAAAAAATAGATACCTGGAAGGATAATGAAGCAACCAGACAAGGACATTTGCAGCTTATCACTACAGGCTTTTAGAGCCTCCTTCTACTGAGTACCTCAGCTCTCTTCACACCCGTCTCAAGCTCAGTGAGTGTCTGAATCTACTGAGTTTTGCTCAGACTCATGGATTGATGTTGTCTTAATCAGCTTTAGTGTTTTCTTTCCGCTGTCTTTAAAAGCAAACATCAACACTTTATTTCCCAATGAACATCAATTGGATTTCTCCTCTATAGACCTCAGAGGCACTTCTTGAGCAGAGTGAAATAATTTTGGCTGTCTCATTTGGGAAAAGCACTACATGGTTGGGGACTTTGATATTCTCAGGTGCATTTAATAGAATAGGTTCTTTATTTAACAAAATCATATGGTGGAATTTGCGGCAGTTGCTGCGAGCTATGAAATTTTTGGGAAACCTTCAACTTAGCACTTCTGAAGCGAGCTACCATCTTGTGCTCCAAGGCAGACTGAGTTCAGTAAGTGCAAGAGCACTGGGTTCCACATCGCTCCTGAAATAATGGTTTACAGAGTCATGATTCTTTTCACAAAGAAGACCCTGAATACAAGTCCCTGCTCCTTGGGTCTTCCACCCAAGTGAGATTTTGAACTAAATGGTCAGAGAATCAGGTTTGTAGAAGCTCCTCAGTTGATTCAAGCACTCACTGAGCTTGAGAATTCTTACTGAAGAATTCAGTTCGAGATGATCCCTCATGTTTATAAATGAAAAGCCTCAGGACATAATTCTTCCTTATTTTCCCTTTCCTTTTGTGCCATATTTCTTGATTGCTGATGAAATGTTTATTTTCTTAGAAAAATACTTTTGTGGAAGGACAACATTTTCTTTAAGGATTGAAAATCAGGTGGTACAAACAAATATCTAGCCAGGGCATGGTTTATGTGATTCAGGTGTTGGTAAGACATGTTTCACTCTTGTACCGGTTGGGAATTTATGCTGTATTGATTCATATAATGATTATTTTTTTCTAAAAGGTGAATTGAAACAAAAATCTATGCCATTAGGTTACCACTGAAAAAATGTACCATGTAATTAATATTTATATTCAGAGAATTGTAAGAGAAAAATTTGGAAAGCAGCCCTCTCTTCATTTTTCAAAGAACCTGGGAAGATTCTTTGGATGTGAGCATCCACGTTTCTCTCCCCATGGGGCAGGGTACCATACAGGGTGGGGTCAAACGGTGTGCTCTTTGACTGGATTCTTTGCACAGGCAATGCTAGGTGGTGAAACTGAAGGGGAGTGTGTCAGGTGGTGATCCACTCACTACCTTGTGAACAAAGATGTGGCAAATGAAGGACATCTGGATTTAGTTTTCTAGACAAGCAGGTGGGTTTGGGCATGAAAAAAACATTTTATTGGTCAGTGAGAGAGGCAAAAGTAGGAGAGGGCTTGGAAAATAAATTAGATCTTGTTTCTTCAGTACCTTATCTCATTGGCTGACACTACAGAGACCAGGAAGCTATCTAAATTATGAGCCATAAGGTAGAAGAAAATTGTGTCTCAGACTACTAGATTTTGGCACCCACTACAAATTAAAGTGTAATTATCTACTAAAAATTACAAATTATAAATCTAGGGCACCTTAACTTGAGAGAAACTTATTTTTTGTTTGTTTGTTTTTTGGTACCAGGGATCAAACTCAGGACCTTGCACTTGCCAGGCAGGTGCTTGTGCTGGTGAGCTATCTCCCTGGCCCTCTACTTTTTAATAAAGAGCAACTGGGAAGTGTTTTATGAGAATGTAAACCTCAGGGACTTGGATCAACTACTACAGTCAGAGGAATCCCTCAAGTGCCAGTCTCTGTTGAGTCCCAGTTCGCTCACTAGTAAGAAAGACAATGGGATCCATTCTGCTTTTTTCATAGGGCCACAAAGAGGTCAGTATGATGAGACACCCGGGGAATTCCTGGGGTAAAATGTGAGAAAACACATGGCAGCTCTGATGGGCAGGGTCCTAAAAAAGCCACCAAGACATCTGCCCTTAATCCTTTTATTGTTTTTAATTAGATGTCCTCCAAAGCCTCATGTACTCATAGCTGGGGCTTTTGCAAAACAATTGCATGATGCAGGTGTGATACTCATCAGTGGGCTAGCCTGGGGATGCGTTCATAGTTAAATGTGATGTTCAGAGGTGAAGCCTGCTTAGAAGAGGTGTTCGCGAGGGGCGTGGTCTGAAAGGGTCTCTCTCCCTTCCTTGTCCTTTGATCTCACTCTACTTCCTGTCTGACATACCCTTAACTGTCCTCTGACATGTGCTACTGCCATGCTATTTGCCTTGGGAGTCAGTCGACTACAGATTGAAAGCTTTACAAACACTGAGTCAAAAATTTCTTAAATTGTGAGTGTTGGGTATTTTGTCCTAGTAACAAATAAAGTAACTAAGACAAACCCCAAAGCCAGGGATAGTATGAAGCAGGATGTCCTGGCCCTGTGAATTTACATGGTGAAAGGAATTCATTGGTTAACATTAAGTTAGTCAAAAGAAAGAAAATCAGAGGTACCTAATCTAATTACGCAGACCTTTAAAAGCAGAGGTGTTTCTGCCAGGTGACAGAGGACAGCAGAGGGACACGATTAAGAATAAAAAGGGGCCATGACAAGAACTGTGTGCTGCTCTAGATGCTGAGAGTGGCTCTTGGTTGACAGCCTGCTAGCAGGTGGAGACTTCAGTCCTATGAATGCAAAGGACTGAACTAGGACAGTGACCCAAATGAGCTTGGGTGTTTATTCTTTTCTAGAGCTTTCCAGATAAGACTCCAATCAGGATGATCTCTTGATTTCTGTCTTGTCACTCCTGGAAAGAAATCAGGATCTCATTTCACTTCTGACCTGCAGAGCTGGGTATTGTTTTAACTTCAAAAATTTGTGGTAATTCGTTTGACAGCAGCATAAAACTAATACAGCATCATTATCTTTCAAAGGAACATGCATTTAAATTATGGGACTTTGACTTTGAAGACACAGTGTGGTGAGTTCATGACTTAATCTTTGTGGCTGAGATTCTACCACAGTTACTGCTAAGTTTCAAGGCTCTGGCTTTAGCATGGAAGTTGCTATGAATTATAATGTTGGCAGAGGACCTGTTCCTAAATGTTTTATTTCTAGAAGATATAAAATGATAATAAGGACATTCCCCTAATTCAGACCTGTTTAGTAGAAAATCAAAATGTGTTTTCTTTGACTCTGTATCACAGCTTGCTTTAAATAACAGCAGCATGGCCTCATTATAGATAAGGTCATGTTTTCCTGTGTTTGCTTTAACATGTTCTCAGTGGCTTGAATCATTGCTGTCACATGCCAGCCACTGGGACAGTTATGCATGCATGGAACAACCAGCGATTCAGACCTGCCCAGCAGAGAGAAGTATGAATTAAGGCCTCATCCTTAGCCTGGTAGATGAGCATTTTGAAGAGGCTAGACACCGAGCAAGAAAACATCAACATAAAATTTTGAAAATATCTTTAAAATAACTTTGAAAAAGTTTGCAGCTCCTCAATTTACTTTTCTTACCACCATCAACTAGTTAAAACAAATCAAGGGTCAGAGAATCCATAATCATGCTTATATTTAAACAGAAGTTTTCATCACCGTACTCAGGAGGCTGAGGCAGAAGGATTGCTGAGAATTGGAGGCCATCCTGGGCTACATACCGAGTTCAAGGTCAGCCTCCTGAACTATGTGATGAGACCCTGTCTCAAAGAAAAGAAAGGAAAAAAAAGAAAGCAAAACAAAAACAACAATTTTCAAATTTCTCCTCCAATTCTGAGGTCAAGATAAGTCAAGATCAAACACATCAAACTCTTTAGTATTAAGTGAGTTTTCAGCAGTGATAAAATCGCAAAGCTTTATTGAAATCCTACCCCAAAATGGAACATGGTACCTTTTCAATTCTGTTTTCTTGAGATTTTTTAAAGTAGATGGTGGGAATTCCGAGCTCAGAAGCAGCTATCCACTGCAGAGTGGCTCGAAGCTCAGCATCGGGGCACTCTGGCTCCAGGTCGAAGTTGATCACCAGCAGGTTCCTCTGGTGGCTGGCTACTGTCCCTGTCAGTCCAGAGGCTTGTTCTGAAGAGACACAACCACACTCTCATCCTGATTTCCAATGGGATATCCCAGGCCATTGTGTGTCAAAAGTAGGGGAACATGACTTACCCTTGATGATTTGTGACTGTCCTTTAAGAATCTCCTTTTCTTCTACTAATTCACTTTGGGAGAAAACAACAGTATGTGATTGATGATGCTTAGGAAGAGAAAACATGTAAATGGAAGATGAGGTGATAGGCCTTATTGACCCGCAAGCTTCTGAAGTTCATCCTAGATTTCTCATTCTCATAGAGCACAGTAAAGTGGAAAAATATACGTGTAATATTACAAAGGATTTCTGGGTCTGCAATATGTAACTACCTCTACCTGAGAAGTATCAATGACTGAATGAATTTAATTAGGATAATATGTATGAGGGGATCAGAGAGTTACATTTTTCTCTTTAAACTCCTTTCCATAAACTTTCACAGGGTTATAATTCAAGGCAAGATTTCGATCATTAGTTCTCATTTAGAGATTTATCTTTTTGCATTTTACTTTTCATTTAATGGGCCTTATGTTTCTGTGCTGTCATAATGATTTTCCCATACTACCATAGCAACATGGATTTTCATTTTAATATAGGAAAGTAACGTTTTTACATGAATATTGTTCATTCACCTGAAGGCATGAACCTATGACCCTCGGAACTTGGATTTTATAGCAAAATATCTTAGTGGGTTGAAAATATTCTTTTCTATTCCTTTTATTGTGTATAAGTATAGGATGACAGGAGTGTTTTAGAATCAGGGAATCATAACTGAAGCATTTCACTAGCTATAGTAATATTTAACATTGGTGATGTTTTTGCATGTTGTGTACATAACACACAGCCTTGTATAGAGCCTTGGGAGAGCTCAGTAAAACTTAACAAGTGACAGCACATGGTACAATGCTGAAAGGAAGTGACCATGGTGGGAAGCCTATAAATGGCTTGTTTTTATACTGTCTAAAAATTCATAATTAGGACCCAAAAATATGGGTTTTGATAGACGATTCTCCCCTATTCTCTGTTGGTATTTATGGCTGGCTGACAAATTTCTTTGTGCTGATGAATTACCCGGTTAGTGGTGACTTTCCTCGATGTTGAAAGAGTCCTGCATGGTGATTCTTTCACTGTACACTACTTGTTTGTAGAACTGTCAGTTCCCTAAGGGAGTAGAATTTGTGATGTATCTCATACATGTGACATAAGTGACAAGACAAATGGCAGTCAGTTTCTGCTAATCTGGATCATGGGTGCTGAGTCTGGGAGGTGGTTATCTTGCTTTCTATGTGCATAGGTTTCTCTGAACTTGTAGGCTGTGCTGCAGACAAAGGTGAAAAAGGCAGCTAAACAAACACTTCCTGGTTTAGAAAAAATAATTTACCACAAAGCAGAATTTTTTTTGTTCTTAAAAAAGGAAGAAAATGTGTGTGCTCCTTTGTACTTGTGTAGATGGCTCTGTGAAATAACACAGGCCGCAGTGGACCTCAGCCATTGAGGAAGACGCCAGGGTCAGCGGTTTTAGCTACAAACCATAGAGGAACTAGGCTAGGGAGAAAATTTAGTCCTGATGATTCTTTTTTATTTTATAAATATCCAAATAAGCAATGCCATAACAGTCAAACCTAGACTTCAATTCACCTATTTTTTCCAGAGCAATCACAAACTTCAGAAGTCATGCTGACCTCAGGTGGCTCCCCGTCTGTGCCATGCTTCTCAAAGTAGTTTCTCCTTTGGCCTTTTATAAGAGACCATATCGTGGGGAGCAGAGCCACTGGGTAGCGCCGACACATCTGGGTCATGGCAACCAGTTTTTACTGACACATTTCGTAGCGATAATCCCAGGTGTCCTCAGCAATGGGAAAGCCACTCGCCCTCCATTCTGTTGGAGTGACTGTGTTTTATAGTGAAGGCTGGTCGGATTTAAATGGAGGTTTTGCTTCTGTTTGTACAAGTAAGTGAAATTATATGCACTACGTGTGTTGAGAAGCCTTATATGAGATGACTGTTCCACATGGAGCAGATTGGAAGCCCGGGAAGCAGGTGAGGTGCTAATAGGGCGGTGCCTGTTTCTGGCCTGAATCCTCTCTCCGGTGACATGGACCCACGGCAGCACAGACACAATGGAACCGGTGGTTGGGCACACCCTGAATGATCAAAATGGATTGCCAGATGGAGTTGGAATAGCAGTCTCACAATCACTTCATCTCAGAGGCTACTTACTTAATCATGGGAGAAGGTGGTATGCTTTCCTGATAAGTGTCCAGGTCCATAATGCCAAGACTGCTAGTGGCACTACTGTTGCCATTGCTGACAAAGCAAAAGTTTACATATTAATGCCCGTCACCACCCCCTGACCATGCTGCTGATGTTCGTGTTCTGTTGTTGTGAGAGGTCCTTCCGTGGTCCCCAGGAGAGCACTGTTTTGTGGATACATATTTCTAATTATTTTGGGAAGAGACATAAGACAGAAGGCTAACAGGTTCAAACTAACAGGACAACAGTAATAATAATAACAACAGTTTTTAATTTCTAAAGTGATGCTACAGATAGTGGGTCAGACCTAGTAAATAACCAGATTCCCTTTTCTTTCTCATAGTAGTCAGGGGCATAATATTCACTTATCAGTAAGAGATTGGCTTTTGCTGGGTATGTCTGCAGAGAAATTGCTGAAAATTCTGCAAGGAATATACCACATTGTGTATCTGCCTGCATCTTGGAAAATTTAATAGAAAGTTACATTGTCTCTTGGCCTCTCTGGAGGTTTTTCTCAAGAGAATTTCATAGGATTTCACAGTATGCATGCCTGGCTTGCTTTCCTAGGGATGAAAGAATTTGCAGGCACAAAGACAGTGCAATGTGAAAGTTCTATCACCTTACAATTTTCGAGGAAGAACAACATAGACTACCTGATTTATTGTCAAGAAGGAGGGCTATGTAGTGCATCTTCTTTATAGATGGCACAACTCACACATGATCTACTTACTAAGGTGGCACTTACTTACTGAAATGCAGCAGAGTTAAGCCAAATGTTAGGCTCTGCCTGTGCTTATGAAGTAAAAGTATCCAATTTTACCAAACTCACTGAATCTCCTCTCCTTCTCTGTTTCACAAGGATGTCTTTTCCAAGCAGGGTTTTGGAAGGGTGACTGCTCGTGTGCCACATAATGGAATAATATTCCTTTAGTACCCACCAGATGCCCTCAATTATAAATTCTCTGCTGAAGTCTCAGGTGGCTCACACAATCTATTCACAGATTGCAATCAGATGAGTCAAAATTGTTCTGGAGGTCATTAACCCTCTAAACTGCTGCTGTGAAAGCCAAAGATGTGGATTGTTTTTTGCTTCTTAACTCCATCTTGTGGCATTTGCCAGCAGTTTTTGGCATTTTAGACACACTGTTAAACATTATGAAATGTTCCTACATGTAAACAAACTGAGCCACCAGAAATGAAGCTTTCCAGGATCCCTACATACACTCAGAGGCTTCGGAATCTCGCTGTCCTTTTGGCTTCTCTGGAAGCCCTGTAGACCTGTTGGTCCAGGGGCAAATACACTGTATGACTCTGAACAAACATGGGAGAGATTCTTCTAGAGGTTCCACCTCACAGAGGGATAGCTTTAGTTTGTGTCTGCTAACTGCTCAAGTCCTTTCAAATCTAATATCTCCTAAGCAGCTATGTCTTCCAGAAATACAATAGAGGGAAAGGAAGATAAAGGTAAGAAACAGGCCAAACAACATAACACAGTGGGGCAAATGCTTGTCTTATATGAACTAAGCTTGTGGGGTCTGGGGAGATGGCTCAGTAGAATAAGCGCTTCCCTGGCAAGCGCAAGGGTCTGAGTTCAATCCCCGGTTCCGAAAAAAAAAAAAAAAAAATAAAAAAAATAAACTAAGCCTGTGTTGCATCTGAGATATAAATGAATCAGACAGAAAGTTGAAACACATGAAGGGTAATGGCAGCTCTCCATGAACAAAAATCACAGTGCTAGTGCCAGTGCACTGAATGTACTAGCTTGGGGCTTTTGGGCAAGGGGATGTTTATTCATCTTTACTCAAGGAAATCTGAGGCCTAAGTGGACATGAAAATATCTTTCAGCATGAATCATGACATGCAGAGACTTTGACTTAGAGTTTTTTCTTTTTCTTTTTCTCTCCCTATTTGGGAGACTTTGTGGAGAGCTATCAAGTGTATTACTTGGACCCTGTCTGTGAAGGCCACTTTCTGGTAAGACATATGAATAGCAGGTACCTCATGGATCGTTCGCTGAGCTGTAGGAAGCTACTCGTGTCATCTGGGTTGTCCTCTTCATTGGCTAGCTGGGACCAGCTGCCTGTACTCTCCTCTCTGCTGCTGGGAGGGCTGGGAAAGGCTTCTGTTGTGACTTCGGCTTCTGCTGCATCTCTGGCATCAAGACTGTCGCTGTAGACAGCAAGACCTTATTACCAAGGGGGGGCACAACATGGGACCTTTCGCTGAGCCCACGCTGGACACTGTTGACTCTGGGTCTCTACCACAGTGAGCAGAATGTCACTGGAAACCACTGGAATCTTTCTTTGGGCTGATCCTTCCTTCAGAGCTTGTCATTATTTAGATTTGAAAAGTATGCCCCAAATTGTAATGCATTTAGAGGTGGAGCTTTTGGTAGATGTTTGGTTCATGGGAGCACTATGGGTTAGTTCACTGCTCATAGTTGGATGTGCTAGTCACATCCACTCCAATGTGGGCCCTGTTGGAGGAAATGGCTCACTGAGACTGTGGCTTCGGAGGGTAGATTGCTCACTCTTGCTCTTCCTTCTGCTATTCCTTGGCTACCCTGAAGTGAACATCTTTGCTCCATCACACTCTCCTGCCTGCTTTGGAGTGAGCTGACCATAGGCTGAGACATGAGAAACCATGAGCCAAATAAACATTTTCTTTTTTAAGTTGTGGACCTTAAGCATTTTTTATCAGGGGTGGGGAAGCTGACTAATACAGTGCCCTAGGATACACTTTGCCTCTTCAGAATTACTCTCCATTAGCTCTTCCACTGAGCAGCAGCCTTCAGGAACTTGGAGTACAATGTAGAACTTGTTAAGGGGCAATAGTGCTTCAAATGAAGATACACAATTCTTCCCAATAATTTTGATTGGGTGATTCTAGAGAAGGGCCTAGTGATCTGCAATTTGATCAACTACCCTGCACCATTCTAATGTGATATGTGGACCATGCTGGGAGAAAAATATCCATCGCAGTTCTGCTGCTTTCCCCAGTCATTTTTCCTGAAAATACCTCATAATGTAGTTTGCATTTGCAGGCACAGTTTACACTGTCTTCTCTCTGAACCCTCTGGCTTACATCAGCACCACTTCTCAGAATTTTTACATTTTTTAATCAAGGAATGCTCCAGAACACTTAGGATTTGATCTGATATCATTTGTCGTCAAAACCTCTCTTCCCTGTTTTTCTATGAATTTCTCCTTCTCTGGTCACCCCTTGCCTAAAGCCTAGTTCTCTGTTTCTCTTTTAAGTGTCACTGTAGCTACTTCTGACTGACTTGCTGCCTCTTGTCCACAGACTATCCCGAAGCAATCTCACCGATTCTCCTGTCAGTGTAAATAGCTTCAAAATGTGAACCTCAGTCAAGCCTCTTTCCCTCTGGATTGTGGGGCTCCTCTGTCAGTTGGCCTTTTAGACATTTCCTATCTGTCTCATTAATATCTCATAATCAATATTTAAAATGAATTCTGATCTCCCATGCTCTTCCTGTGCTTCTTATTTTCATTGATCTCTCTGAGTATTGGGTCTTAAGATTCATTCTTCTGATTTCTCCTTGCCTCATATATTCAGTTACTAAGATGTTTTAGTTTTATCTCCATGGTATCTCACACGTATTCACTTATAACTGTCTCTGTACTCATGAAATTATATAATTTATTTAATTTAAATTTAATTTTATTTTTTAACTCATTAATAACTATTGAAAACCAATAATAATTATATAGCAAATTAAAAAATTTAGACAAATAGTGAAATGTGAAAGATATATGATATAAAGTCAATTTCAGAAAAATATTTCTGAAATGAATATATAACATGAGATTAATTATAGATTGCACATTGTAAAAATTATTTACAAGCTTAATATAACAAAAATTGTCTAAAATAAGCATGAAAAAGAGAGAGTTTACATATCTGTCATATGTTCAGTCTGTGCCAAAATCAAGAAACATATTCATACAATTAGA